ATATATACGACCTATACAGTAACATCAAGACGTTTTCAATCAAATAAAGCCATATATAAATATATAGTATAGTCTTCAATAGCTCTACTAGCCTATACAACAACCCTTATTTATCTCAGAAAAGATCTAAATGTCTTAATTTTGCCAAGAGTACAGAATATAGGCCTATTGAAATGTATATAATCCGATGTTTTTCATGATATGAAACATTTCTTTAATAGGTATCTAATATCAAACTTTAACATCTTTAAAACTTATTTTAATCAAGTTCGTCCAATAAAAAAACTGCGTAAGGGCAAACGGTTATACTAATTTAATTTAAATAAAACTATACGCTAAATTATTCCACTCACCTGAATGCGTTCCCGAAGATTTTCCCTTTGGAAAGTGAAACACATCTCCTGTCCAGGTGTGCGCGCTGGAGGAAACCCCGCCCAGAATCCTACTACGGCGAAGGCTGGGCTCATGAATAATTAATTAAGTAATGCAGCAGAGCTTAAAAACCCTCCAATGACGAAGGCGTATGTTAACTGCGTGCGTGTTGCGTTGCGCTATTCGATTTCAACACTCAAGGCTTGTTTAATGAATATTAATAGCCTACTGGGTTATAAACACTGATCTATATATAATGACTATTATAGATCAGTGGTTATAAAGATTAAGAACACAGTCTTCTTCACCATAGTAGTAAATTCGCGCCCGGTGTGTGCAGGAAGAGTAGAGCACGTAACGGAAGTGACTAGACAAGCCCCAACGCACATACCTGAACATTAACCAAGTTGTAATTGTTGCTCAAGCTATAATGACCACATAATGACTAACTTGTGCGTCGGAGATTTTTACACCAGTTCTAGCCAACTGTAAGACTTAAACCGGATTATACAGCAGTAAATAAAGACTAGACAGACTACAGTTATGATGATTGGCTGGTTTAATACAAAAACTACAAAATTGTGTGGCACAAGCCACGTGTCATTTAAATCAAACAGCCTAAATCTATATTATGAAACATCGAGATGATAACAGACATGTTGGCCCAAATTTAGGTAGGCCTATTATTTTCACAATAGTCTTAACAGTGATGGTAAAGAAAATGTTTGATGGTGATGTTCAAGTTTATGAACAATAAACTGAATTTAAATAAATAAGTTTCAATTATTTGAACCAATTCATATTTAAATCTTTACAAACACATTTGCTTTTTTATTAGAATTTGTGATAGTGCGTTAGTTCATCTGTCCGGCAGAGGTCAGACTTAGTATAGGCCTACTGGAAATGAGATATATAGGCTACTATTGGAGGAAATAATAAAACACCTTAAGATTACAAGAAAAATGTAATTGAACCACTAAACAGAATTCAAATGCTTTTTTTCGGCCATACGCATTCTTTGAAGTACCTTGGAGTAGCATGCACATAACACGGTATGTGAATATGGGAATCAATACCGTATATTAGCTACTCATTGATGAGAGAGAGGCATAGGCTACACTGACACACTTTATGTCACGAAGTGGGAGGAAACTATTAGTTCATAAGAAACAGACAGGCTGTTAACAACATTTCCATATTAATACATACTTATAATTTGTTCCTAAGCAATTACAACTTCTCCATGACATTTTTAATCAATACAAAAATGCGCTAAAATGTTTCTATGCTGCGTTTCTGCAGCGCAACACTAGGTGGCGCTGTACAGCTGGTGTTCTGCAAGAGTTTAGCCACAGTTTCAGCTGAAGACTCGCATAGTTTCTGTCTCCCTATGGACGTTATTTTATGGTTTGGTAAACCTAACACGGAATGTGGACTTGACCAAAATATCAAGTGTCAAGGCTCAGGCTAAAGACCCTAAATATGCGCCGTTAAAGCAGACTCCCGTGGGAGAAGTGTCCTCTTACTTTCATGCTAACTCAAACCATGTCCAACGCGTATGATCTTTTGTTTTCTCTTTGAAAACGTTGAGACTTGTGTTCAGATTCCTACTGGAACACCAGCGGGAAGAGGACAGGTGACCCTTTCTCCGAACTTAAGCAATTACACAGTTTATTAATAGTTTGATCAGGCAGTCAGCGGCATCTGTGTGTCAAATAGAGAGTCATTGTGTAGATGATTAGATCCTTCCAGTGTTAAAACTCAGGTCGGGTCCGATTGCGATCTAAAACCTAAATCCCTGCTCGGAATCCACACACGGAGGCCGGTGGGATCAAGCTACGCTCGCGGTGCGCTCAACTTCTTAACCTGAGAGAGTTCAGGGAGGTGATGGATGCCACTCCATCTGCGCATCAGCCTTTTCATTTTCTCTTCTCGCCTTTTAAAGGCGCTCCCTCTTCCTGCGATGATTCTTTGAAAATGTTATTTTAATAATTACGAACGCCGGGAGGGCCTCTCGCCGAGGTCCTTTCGTATGAACTTGAGTTCTGACGCTCAAATGGGTTTCCACAGCGGGATGAAGCACGAGCGCAGAGCCACAGGAAACAGAGAGAGGACAAGAAAAGCTCTGAACCTGTTTGAAGTCTTATTTAGTAGCTAATAGGCAGTCTTGAGAAGGTTACTTTGAAAATGTAATATGTTACAGATTAGCCTATAAATTACCCTACTTAAAATGTAATCAAAAATGTCAATTACTTTATTAAAGTAATGTAACTGATTACATTTGATTTACTTTTTGATTACTTTTCTAAATTTCTAATGTTTTCAACTGTTCAATCATTTTGAAACATTTAAACCTGGCAGGGTTAACCTTAGAGGACTCAACACTGGTTACTGTCAGACTTTTGAAATCCTTCATCACTTGAATTAAGATTATAGTTGCAACTTTACAGATCTTCTTTATGCACCAAGAGCTTGTAACACTCCAAAGAGAAAGGAAAAATTGAAATCGCATCATATGACCCCTTTAAAGCACAGCCACCACAAAATCAGATTTTAGCACCTCTTTTTACTTCGAAATCATTCTGAGGTTAAATACAGATTTAAAATCATAACAAGAAATATAGTTTAAAAGCTATGGTACTGTTTTTGAAATCAAATATCTGCATAGGAAACAATGGCTATAACAATGCCTTGGAAAAAAACTGTTAATCTTAAAAAATAAAGCATATACATAAACCCAAATAGGAAATAAAACAGTTATCGAATAAGCATGTGTCCTATTCTGTGTACTGTGTATTGTAAACTTTAATGGTGTCTCATTTTAGAGCAGTCAATGCAATTTATGAAATAAGTGAATTAAATCTGTATGTGGGTGTGTGAGTGGAAAAATTCAGACCCCCTTTGTCATCGTTAACATTTTCATAAGTAACTAATTTAATTACACATTTTTTTTCTTAGTAACTGTAACTACCGGTAATTACAATTAAATTTATTTTGTAATTACATTACATAATTCTGTTACATGTAACTAGTTACTCCCCAACACTGCTTATAGGGAATGTTCTCGGAACTTTGGCTAACGTAAAGTAAATTTCATTACTTTAAATAAAATAGACGAAAAAGCTCTGAACCTGTTTTAAGTCTTATTTAGCTAATAGGGAACGTTCTTAGAACGTTGGCTAACGTTCTGGCAGAGTTATTATAGTTAACTAAAACTTAAACTAAAACTACAATTCTTTAAATAAAATAGACGAAAATTCAACATTCTTTCTCTCTCTTTTTAATTTAGTTTTACTTGATTTAATAAAATAACCAAAACTAAAACTGAAATAAAAATAAAAATAAAATGTCGATGATAAAAAAAACACACACAAAAAAAAATAAAAAAATCACAAACTAACATTCTTCCAATAAAGTTAATGTAATGTTTGCTGAAAGTTTCTGGTCTTTAATAATGTTCTCAAAACAAAAATTGTATTTGTATATCGTTCATGGAATGTTTTTTCCCAAAAGATTTAGTTGGACATTTGTCTAATGTTTTTTAAATGCTACTACTTGTTTCAGAACATTGTTACATTTAAAAGTAACATTCTTAAAATCATAAAATTGAATGTTTCCTTAACATTCGCATAACTAGCATAAATCAAATAGATCCATATTTATGGATCCCAATTTATTATTTCACAATTGTCTTAGTAAATGTAACAGCGATAAAGTTGTCTAAAGTTAATGTCCATGTTGATGAACAAAATTATTTGGCATTTAAATGAATATTATTTTATTAATTATATGAAGACACACATTTGCTTTTCTTATTACAAGTTGTGATGATGAGTCAGTTCATCTGTCTAACGTTTTTTAAAGTCACCCTGTAGTCAAAAATGTTATCCTTTAAAACTAATCTTTGATAATCAAAATGACATATTTAAATGTTTTTTCTTGTGAAAATAATTTTCTCATGCCTTAAAATAGCTTGAATGTAACTCTACACCCTTGCCTCATTTACTATACACGAATCTATGAAATTAAACACACCTGAAGCAGCTAATCAAGGTATTACTAGGCATACTAGAAACTTCCCAGCAGGTGTGTTGAGGCAAGTTGGAGCTAAACTCTGCAGGACACCTGCCCTTCAGGACTGAGTTTGGGCACCCCTGCACTAGACCCTATGCTTTGCAGCACAGTTAATGATATGCTAAGGATAGGATCCCTTGACGCTATTGGTTATTGAATTTTGTGACGTAGCAAAAAAAAAGGCTGTTTCAAACTGCAGTTTCTGTGTCTGCCTTTGGGAAGCTACAGTTTTAAGGAGAATAATACTCAACAATGGTGTTGATAAATGGATTGGCACATGGTTTGTCTAAAAGCATATTAATCGGGCTACTTTTACACTGCTGCCGCAGGTTATTATTCAAGTCAGCGGTTCTAAATACAAATAAATAAGCGCTAACAGCACATGACATCGTGAAAATAGGGGGAAATATTTACAGTTAGCGAAACATCTACAGAAAAAATATAACTGTTACCGGATTAACCTGGCTGCCTTCTCACTAGACCAAAGGCTGTTTCAAACTGCAGTTTCTGTGTCTGCCTTTGGGAAGCTACAGTTTTAAGGAGAATAATACTCAACAATGGTGTTGATAAATGGATTGGCACATGGTTTGTCTAAAAGCATATTAAAAACACCACATAGACAAATAAACAACATAAAAAAACTTGATTTTCACCACAGGGGGACTTTAAATGTTTCTACTTGCACCAGAGTGTTAAGTGAACATTTAAAAGTAACGTTCCCAAAATGATAAAATGGAATGTTTCACATATGCAAGAAAAAAACATTTCTGAAACATTTAGAAAAACAGGGTGTCCAGAGAACATTTAGAAAATATTCAGAAACAATGTTTTTATAACCTAACAAGAACATTAGCAAAATATTCTTAGAACATATTTTTGTTAGCTGGGGGTTCTGACCAAAACATACTGCAACCAAACCTGACGAGTCCCTCCAAGCTAAAACACATTTACTGTGGTAAAGATAGCATTGTGCA